ATGCCAAGCTCTAAAATATTTAATGAGTAGAAATTATGAATAAATATATTCTAAAAGTTATAGCGCCTTCGAATATATTTTGGACAAAGCGGCCCTTGAAGTTAAAGAAAAGGTTCAGAACCACTGCTTTAAGGGTTTTTACAAGCATTTAAGAGAGCGCATATAGATAGAAGTAACATTTACCACCTAGAGAACAGTGGGACAGCCAGATGGACTGGCCCTAAACAGGCACACCTCCCCCTTGGCTTGTACTCCATTCTTATTCAAATTCCCTTTTGAAATTCAAACTTGACACACTCAATAGATAAGATGATGAGAACGTATGTCTTAAAGCTCATCTTTCATCAAACCACAGCCTTTAAGTTACTAAAACACTCCTGTGTTGACTGATTGCATGGTAAAGCTCGGTACGGCTCACTTTTGGGGAGGGCGACGCAACTTTAATGATCAGTCTATATAATCCCACCCACTTTGAAGCGGTACTAAACTACAGTGGAAAAGCAAGTTGAGTTGAGTAAAGTGAGCCGAGTCATGAATGTCACAGCATTGACTATGAATTTGAGTATCCACTTTAAAGAGATGACGCAGTCAAAATTTCTGACATGCAACAGTGAGTTTGTGGCATTCATAACTAGCCAAAAATAGAACGTCCCTTCTGTCATTCAATTGCCACCTCATACAAGGCACATAACCACAAACCACCACAGTGAGCCTACACACGTTGACCTGCCAAGCTACCCCAGACTGACACTATAATAAGTGTGTGGCTTGTCTTCTTAGCAACAGACTACACATGAAAAGAAATAATAAACTTAGCACTAAACAATACCTGTAATGAAATACAATATCCATCAGTGTGTGCTTGATGGTGACAGTTTGGCATCCAACACAACTCATTCAATGATGTGCTCTTGATTGGTCTTGTGACTTTTGAATTGCTAAACCTGTTTTTCTCCCACATCCTCAACATTTGCCCTTGTGTGAACCTTTGATCAATTACAAATCAGACGTGACTGCTGAACTTTAAGTCAACCAACTAGATCTCAAACACCACATAACAGCCCATTCAAATGGACTTAAACATTACATACGCAGTTTTCTTGAAGGGAGGTTATCTTTACACTCTCAACGTGGGTCAAAGTTGGAAATGAAATTGCATCAGAAGCTTTCTGGAATTCATTACTACAGAAATAATTTCTAGGTAGCTCTTTTAAAGGGTAAATTGCAGGTAACCACCACAACCAATTAATGAGTAAATTAAAGTGCTCAATATGTATGTGTATATATATATTTTAGGGGTGTAACGGTACATGTATTCGTATTGAACCGTTTCGGTTCGAGGCTTCCGGTTCGGTACGCATACAAACCGAACGATTGCTTCGACCATTTTTCCTGCCGGCAAAATTCGCGCTGACGCGGCCAACACATCGTTGCGCAACATCAAATGGCAAATGTAATGAAAGCAGAATGAAACTGCGCTACTCATTATGTGCTTCACGGATTATCTGCTTCACGGATCGTTTATCAGTTCGGACCAGCAACATCTGTGCAGCGCAGGCCGATCTCGATCAAGCAACACTGTTACCACACCGCGCTAAGAGACCCGGTAAAGAAAACATTTGAATTCGCCACTGAGGTAATAACATCGCTGCGAGATCTAGTGAGATGCATTCACATTTCTCCGTTATTAACCGTAGATCTCTATTAGATCAAACAGCGCTGTCATGGAAACCAGGAGAAACATTGTGCCGTGAATGAACTAGTACTTCACGTCCACAGACCAGCAACATTCACCATGGATTTAATATAGTAACACTAACTGAAACCAGTTTGGCTGGAATGGTGAAATACTTTCAAGTACTTCACACATCTTTTTCCAGCACTTCAAAATTAAAATATTATATAAATAAATATATATTTAAATGTTATTTTTAATGTGATGACCAAAACATTATTTGTTCATCCTTTAAAGATGACCCCCATTTATAAACCTGAAAGTTTCAAGATCTGGGAAAACTCACATTTATTTAAAAATATTTTTTCTTTAAACAAATAGGACATTTCTCTGGCATTTCTTTCTTTTTGCTGTATCGAAAACGTACCGAACCGTGATTTTTGTGTACCGTTACACCCCTAATATATATACATACATCTGTCTTAAAATGCGTTAAAATAACATTTATTGGAGTTTCTTCAAAGGTAGCATGTTTTTTTTACAGTAACTGGGTAATGACGTCCAATGGGAGCGCGGGCGGTAATTACTCACTAGATAACGGTTACTCACAGAGAATAAAGCAGTTCGCTGTACTCCCGTAAACTAGAAAAAATCTACGATAAAACAAACTAATACATTTTTATTCATCTGTAGCAGAAAAGCAACAAAAACAAAAACAAAAATGATTTACAGGCCAGAGTTTCTATTTATAACATGTTTGAAGTGTTAAGCGATGTAGCCAATCACACACATACGGGTTGATTTCTAGGAACGCAATGGCCAATCAGAAGCATAAAGACTTCCCTCACCGCTCAAAACTGACTTTTTGTTCAGTGATGAATTCTGTATGCTGGCAAATCCTCAAATTATAACAAAGAAAGTGTAGATATTATAAAAGATTCATTAACAGATGCGTGAGATCGCAAAAAACTGATGTCAGCTTTTTATGAATTATTAAGGGGAGCGCACTTTGCGCGCATTCATGGCAAACCATGCATGACCGTAAGTTAGCCTGCTTGTTTTTGTTATAACAGTGTGGTTTGTGTGTTAATGCTTTAATAAATCATTTATTAGGAGCCTTTATGCTGATGCGATATGGTGGGGACACGTAGGCTGACGTGAAAGTATTTGGAGGCACAGAAAAAAAGTATTTTTGTGGGCGGGAGCGGGACAAAACATAAATGCTACGGGGGGAGAAAGTAACATAGAAAGAGGTTGAGAACGTCAGTTATAATAATGACCCATAAAAAAATAGTCGTGTTTAAATCGGGCTCACAATTACAGTTAATGTGTCGGGCCGAGTGCTTGGGTAGGGTCGGGCTTGCATACCCAAGATCTACCTTGGGTATGCTAACAATTACAGGCATGAATCAGTCGTTTGTCCTTGGGGAAATTGTGGAGCCTCTCCCCCGTTTTTGATGTATTCGATGTATTTGTGAAAAATGTAACCTGCAATTTACACTTAAAGTAATGATTGTGAGTGCATCTTTTGCCCGACTTCCATTTCCAGAGACAGTCAAATCAGGTTTCTGATAGTACCACAGAGTTCAGAGTGGCACCATTTGTGCCCTTATAACAGTGTGACCTGACTGTTTGTTTTTCCACTGACCAGAGCGCCCAGGGAACGACGTCGTTACGTCACTGTGTATGTCGCTAGAAACGCTTGCAAGTACATTGCTTTGGGATTATCTCCAACTCGTGTACCAAGAAAACTTTAAAAACAAGTGAAATATGCAAGTCTTTTAATCTTTTCGTTTGATATAATCTTTTCTGATAAGTTATGTACCCCTGTCTTGTGTCTTTTTTCTTTCCATTTATTTGTTCTATATCGTGACTGTTTTCTTCTTTGCTTATGTTTCAAATAAAATAAATAAATAAAAACGCTTGCGTGTTTCTGCAGTTTCTCCTGGCTTTGCGATGGTCAGAAAAGATGTTTAGAACACATCTAAACCAGCCCCAGCCCCCGACGTAAGCATGACGTGCTAAAAAAACAGTTCTAGTCCAGCATTGAGTTGGTGCCGCTTTGGAACCAGTTTTCCCGGCCGCAAACCAGTTCTTCGGCTGTCGAAACACAAAGAACTGGTTCGCGTGCAGGCACCGGCTCCGAACCGGCTCTCAAAATGCTTTGGTGTAAAAGGGGCTTTTGACATCTCTCTACCAACCATTGCTCTTCTCCAAGCTAGTTCTTCTCCTAAATTGAGTAACGTTAGAGATCTTTTTGATTCAATCTGAGGTGACTTGGCAACCTACATTTAACCTCATGAGATTAGCTTGCAACATTGATGATACCAATAAGCTCATGATGAAATATCAGAGATGTTGAAACTTTCCCCTGCAATAAAAAGCTGATGCAAACTAAATCAGATTCTCCTCATGAGAATCCACTGTGAAAATGGGCTAACCCTATATAAATTCAGTTAGAATTCTGACCCAAATATATGAGTGGAGCAGAGTGAAGTTTTCTGAGAACTTCTTATTTGTTTAGTCAACGTGTCGGTTTCCTCTCACGAATGGAAGCAGAGCTCTAATTTAGCTTAAAACAAGCAGTGCATTTTAAAATTCAGACCATCAGTGTTTCTCTTACTCAGTTGGTCTGAGCTGCTTGTTGTTGACACTGGTTGAGAAGAAATATACAAACTGGGAAAATTACTATGCAAATCAAGCTATTCGGTGTCTCAAAACCTGGTGATATGCCTGCCTAGAAAGCATCTGAAGGCATCAAACAGCACCTCTGATGCTCAAAAACTTGTCTAAGTAACGCGTTAGGCATCTCATCGGGATTTGATGCAGCCTAAGACTAATTAAATGACTGAGTGAAAGCACAAAAGTAATCTTCAAATAACTATCAAAATGATCAAACAAAAGGATATATCCGCGATTGAACAGATGCAGTTTAATTTAATGATATGTTTTTTTACCCCACACCCTTCTTTCATTGCGCACGTGAGCGCGTGACACGCGTAAATGGCGATAAACTCAAACGGTGAGAACAGCGAATAACGTGATAAATGAGACCCATTTCTTGGTCTGTGAGAGAAGGGTCTGTTTCGGTGTTGGAGGGTCACACAAACCCCAAATTCACTCAACATCCCGCCACAATCTGCAGGTCTGAGCGCACTACAACATCACGAATGAACCACAAAGAGTGTGCTCGCACCACCAGAGCTCAAGTTAATTCATTGTGTTCATTTAAACTAAAGCTCAAATTCCGTTTTAAAAGGAGCCCCTTTCTCTCGAGCAGGACCGTGTGGCACACAGCCTGTAAATACACACGGAAAACACATACCTGCGTGTTTCATTTACCAACTCCGGTGGCAAGAGTGCGATATCCTTCTGTGATGTGATGTGATGTGATGTAAGCTCCCGGTTCACCGAACAGCATGGGGAGCTCGAATGGCTAGTTGGCTACGTAGATTCGTGGATATGTGGTGTGACTTAACCCATCCGCTCGACTATGATAGAAACCCTGCTGATGCGCATGCGCACAACTACTGTGTACGGCCCCACGAACGCCCGTGTAATATAGTCTCAAGTTACAAGGACATTTGAGGAGTTAAGATGACTTTGAACGTGATGTTAAACTTCACTGGGACCTTTTGAGGCGAATTCAATATGTTATTTACCCATTTGCCCTTTTAAAGATAATGAAAAATGCGTGATTTAAAAATCAGAAAGTAGGCTAATTTAAGTTCAACTGAAGTTGAGCCTAATACAGAAACGTGTTGAAAAGTTTTGGGCGCGTTTTAAAATAAAATATCTAATCATTCTTAAACAAGATATATTCAAATCTCAAGAAAAAAGTAGCCTACATTTTAATGTGGATTGTGGATAGGCTACTTTTTACTTCCAGTATTATTCTTTCTACTTTTCCTACCCTTGAAAAGACATTGATTTTCTTATGCAAGATTACTTCTCAAGCAAAATGATTGTTTAAAAGTATGTTTAGACATCCGTTCACACATCTTTTTCCAGCACTTCAAAATTAAAATATTATATAAATAAAAATATATTTAAATGTTATTTTTAATGTGATGACCAAAACATTATTTGTTCATCCTTCAAAGATGACCCCCATTTATAAACCTGAAAGTTTCAAGATCTAGGAAAACTCACATTTATTTAAAAATATTTTTTCTTTAAACAAATAGGACATTTCTCTGGCATTTCTTTCTTTTTGCTGTATCGAAAACGTACCGAACCGTGACTTTAAAACCGAGGTACGTACCGAACCGTGATTTTTGTGTACCGTTACACCCCTAATATATATACATACATCAGTCTTAAAATGCGTTAAAATAACATTTATTGGAGTTTCTTCAAAGGTAGCATGTTTTTTTTACAGTAACTGGGTAATGACGTCCAATGGGAGCGCGGGCGGTAATTACTCACTAGATAACGGTTACTCACAGAGAATAAAGCGGTTCGCTGTACTCCCGTAAACTAGAAAAAATCTATCTAAAACAAACGAATACATTTTTATTCATCTGTAGCAGAAAAGCAACAAAAACTAAAACAAAACAGAAATGATTTACAGGCCAGAGTTTCTATTTATAACATGTTTGAAGTGTTAAGCGATGTAGCCAATCACACACATACCACATACGGGTTGATTTCTAGGAACGCAATGGCCAATGAGAAGCATTTAGACTTCCCTCACCGCTCAAAACTGACTTTTTGTTCAGTGATGAATTCTGTATGCTGGCAAATCCTCAAATTATAACAAAGAAATTGTAGATATTATAAAAGATTCATTCTTATAGGATTGTTTTTGGGGATAGGCCTATATCAGCCACCATATCGGTATCTATGTTCGTTTTCAATGTTATCGTTATCGCCGATAAGAAAATTTGGCCGTTATATGATATAGTTATATATATATATATATATATATATATATATATATATATATATATATATGATAACTTATATCTAAGCCGATAATTCCTGCCGCTGAGACACTTCAGATGTGCACTGTTCACCATGATGGTTTTGAATTGCTTGAAATATGATTGGGAGTGTGGCGCGCAGTCATACATAATGGGTATTGGGAACGTTATAACTGTGTGCTTGGGACATAGCTTTTAATGGTGAGACTTTTGTTTTTGAAATCAGACATTCAAAAATGATAAAGAAATTTGGGTTTAGTTGTATTGGCCAATAGGTTATATCAGTTGTTGGCTTTCAAATATGAAGAATTATCGGTTATTAGTGTCGGCCAAAATCTTTATATCAGTGCATAATGTTTTTAGACTATGTCTGCAGCTTCTTTTGTTTTCACCAATATTCTGTTGTCTCCCATTCTTTCATTTCAGTAGACAGCATGTGAAGTTGCTGTGCTAATTAGTGCCTTTTGTTAATAAGCATTAGTACCAGTTACAGCAGCAAAGAGAACAAAGAGATTGACATATAAAAGAACACTGAAATGAAGAATTAAAAAAAAAGTCTTGGTTAACAACTTGTTCCGTTTATATGAATATTTCTGGTGTGCACAAGCATGCAAACACAGATAGTGGCCTCAAAGTCCATAACCAAATAAGCTCTTAGTGGAACTTACTGAATAGTCGCATGCATTATGACTCAAAAGCTGCTTCAAATGACTTTGCATATCTAATTTGGAATAACTACATTCTCACCATAGAATTCCAAACATTTGTGAAATTTACTGAAACACGTGTGAAAATTCAACAGACATGCACTTTACAAAGGTTCACCTTTATATAGAGGGTGTGTCTTTAGTTTATGATTGACAGCAATGAAAGGAATTTCTTACAGGAGCTAATATTTTCAAAGAGATCCCCTAGTGTTCAGTATCACACCCTGAGATCAGTTTTGATGAAACATTAACCCTTGTGCATCCTATGGACATTTTTGTCCTTTTCAGTTTTTTTTTTTTTTATCACTTCGCCTGTGTTAATGCTAACGGTATAAAATTTGGCACAGGTATGTATTTTTATTGGAATTTTACTATGTAATAATGTAATATTACATTTTCAATTTTGCACTATACACAAAATACTCCCTCTCAGTGGTTTTTGGACAAAAAATGTCCCTATTGAAACATTGAAAAACGTCCCCATTACCATTTTTACAGGTTTGGCCTATAAAGCAATATCCTGTTTTCTGTTTCAGCATATTATAGAGCCAATTGGATAAATTATGCAACAATATTTGAGTTGGTATGGATGTCAGAGTGTGGTTAGTATGCGTGTTAAAAATGAAATATCTGTGAGTCTGCATGTGTGTGTTTAATATTGAGAGAGAAAAACTCAACTGCAAATAACAAATCCAATTACTGTGTGCATCAGTGGAGTTTTGCTGGTACCAAATAGGGAAAATCCCAAACAAAATCTTACCGAAAGCTAATTTTTTGAGATGCTTAAATTTGGAACACAACTTCTTTAGATTCATGGCTTTGATTTTCTAGCCGTTTTGGAGTTCAACTTGTTTCATAAAATATATATTTTATGACAATCATTCTTGTGAAGATCTGGACTCAAAGTAACGAACTGGGATGGTTGGTTGGGTGGGCATCTTTCATTTTGATGAACATCTGCATAATACAGCCGTATATGTTTGAATAGATTTGGCCCAAAATGTGCTGTAGTAGAAATTGTTACATGATTTAATAGAAATTCAATAAAAAAACCTGTTAAAATAAAATATATATTTTATATAAAATAATGTTCATAAATAGTTTTCATAACCATAAACCTATACGTTTTTGGATTTATTTACTTATTTATTTTTTACTTCAGCAACAATCTGCCAAGGGTCTTCTTTAACCCCTTAGCTGTCACCCCCCCCCCTTTTGAGAATGGGGGTTAAAATGCACTATTCAAACTTAAATGGTTGTAATTTAAGAATGCTTTGGAATATATACCCAAGTTTGGTCTTGTTTTAAAGAAAACACTCAGCAGAATATTGCTGAAGTGAAAACACTTCAAAAAATGAAAGTATGAAAAAGTTATGGAAGTTTAAATTTACAGTAAATTAAATATACTGTACTATATGTTTTTTATTTTATATAAAATATATATTTTATAAAATATTTTTACTCTAAAATTTCTATAAAATCAAAGCCATACATCTCATCAAGTTATGTTCCAAATTTGAAGTTGATATCACAAAAATTGAAGTTCCCATGAGATTTTGTTTAGGCGTAGTACCAAAAATAGCCACCGGGTGCCATTGAATTCCATTGAATTTAGTTGTATACATTCTGCCTTAACAAATTAATACATTTCTGTCCAAATATCAATTCTGTCACAAAATTTGGAACCTTGAGACTCTGACCTTTCTGACAATATCAGTTTTGTCAAGATTAGAAAAAGTTTTGATCATAAATTATGAAATATAATGATGCCCAAAAGGGGAGGAGCCTAATAAAATAAGTACCGTTTCTATGGTAACGCAACTTTCAATTATAAAACAGTTTTCACACGATGAATTCTGAGTTTATAAGCTTTCAAATGATACCTAATTTATGATAACTACTAAAATATGTGATATAATAAAAAAGGCGATAAAAAATAATATTATATTTTAGAGGATAATAAATATAAATATTATCATTTTTAGAGGATAATATTGTACTATAATTTTTTATTTTTTATTGAAAAATACTAGATTGTATGTTTATTATGAACTTTTAGCATAAAAGCAGAAGTTTCAATGATTAAAAATGGGTTCATCAACTTTTTGTGACAAAGGTCAAAACTCCTGTTATGATGCAGATTTTTTGAGGTGCACTCTTGTCATAAATTCATCAATTACTCTTCTTACATAATTTTTAACACAAAACAGGGGTAGAATATCTATTTAGAAGTCTTAGACCTTTCCAACAATATATAATTTGTCATAATTAGATTAGGATTTAATAGAAATATAGTGAAGTAAAGTTAGGCGTCCCGGTACCGGGACGGTGACAGTTAAGGGGTTAAAATTATACCAAAAATTTTAAGTTTGTGCTCTCAAGCTTCAAGTTTTTATGACAGTTTTTTGACACAGACATTTTTGTCAATGTACGAGTAACTTTTTAAAATTGATGCACAAGGGTTATATCCCCCATTTAGTTGTGATAGTTTATTAAAATTCCATGTTTTATTACATTTGGAGTATCTGAGAATGGAGGAGTGAGAGTAATAACTCTCTCAAAAAAACGGAAATTCCAGGAAATTCCCAAGCATTCCAACTTTAAATAGGAGTGGACATCAATACAAGCGGAATCTCTCAGATCTCTATATTGTCATGCTCTACAGGTACCATATGTCCGAAAACATTATTGCTAACATGATCTATGTCAAATGAATTAGATTCAAAGGTGAAATGATTACCTTTTCAACAAATTTATAGTAAGTTCAGATGTTTATGATGTTTATCATAGCTCGAAACAAGCACTTCCATTATATAAATCTTTAATATGCTAATCTTTCACTCTTTATGCACTTTCT